TTAGTCGGCAACGGCGACGACCTCGCGCGCGCGGTCCAGCAGGAATCTTGCGAAATTCCTGGCTCGTGTGCGAGTTCCTCGTTGAAAAGCAGCGTCGTCGTCGTCGTCGTCGTCGTCGTCCTCACGCGCATCCGCGTCGTCTCGTTCATTCCCGCGTTCCTCGTCTCCGTATTTTCCTCAAGCAGGATCGACGATCGCCGCCCGGCCGCCGGGCAGCCCGTATCAAATCGACGCATAATTTCACGGTCATAAAGTCATCGCGGTCGCGACGCGAACCGCGAATTCCGCGAATTACGCCTCGCCCGCGCGCGCACGCCTGATTATTTCGTGCTCCTCCGCGAAAACAACCGGGAAAAAACGCGATGCATTTCGCACCTCAGCACCGTCGCGTGCGTTCGTTCCCTCCGTTCGCTCCGCAGCATTTTTATCGTACCTCGCCGGTAACATCGCGCAGCCGCGTCGCGCGCGCGCGCGCGCGCTGGCAAACGACGAAATTCCGTCGCGGGAGCGTTTATGAAGTCGCGAGCCGAATCGTTAATTGCCCAAAGTGGCAATTAGCGTTAGCGCGTCGGACGCGCAGGGGTCGCGCGTTAGCGCCCGTTAGCGTGTCGAGCGCCCGTTACGCAATCGATCGCCGGCGAAGGTGTAGCTCCTCGCAAGCAAAACGGTCGCGCGTGTCTCCTTTGCATCTCTCGCTGCGCCCTGCTTCCCCCGCGCTTCGTACAATCGATTATACAATAATATCGCGCCTCGGCAGAAGACGCGAGGAGGAAGAGTCACGATCCGACATGCCGGCGCGGTACCACACCGACCCGGCTGATTATCTAATATCTTATACACGGTGTCCCAAAAGCGTCCTCGCTTTTGGTTTTGGCGACGGCTTCGGTCTTCGACAGCTGCGATGACCCCGTAGGCGTCGGGGGTCGTGGCGAAATCTGCCGGCGCGCTTGATTTCGCACGGAATTCTCTTTCTCTCGGAGAGAGCTCTCGATGGGTCTTCGATCATTATAATTGGACGAGAATGAATTCGGTTGCAGCTCCATCGGCGAGATCATTCATCATCTCGCGTCGTGATGTCGACTCTTCGTTGAGATTCCGTCAGGGGTGACGCGCGCGCGCGAGGGGGGATGAAAAATGCAAAACACAGGCTCGTATCTCGCGCTAGTATCGCGAATATTAATGTTATTATTATTCTTCTTCGTCAACGGCTTGAGCTATCGCGTCGCTCCTCGCACCTCGGGGGGATAATGACGCCGCGAGGCGATTAATCGGCCCGCAGCGCGATCGGTACTCTAGCGGTACTCGTATTGTGTGTTATTAATGATAAACGTTCGTGATGACGTGCGCGCGCGTGCGAGCTGGTGCACACTGTGCGCGCGATAGAGCGACGGTCCAGCGGTTACGTTGCGCGTGTGACATAACACACGTGGTGTCTTGGTCACAGATGTATTAGAAAGTCCCACAGAGAATCTTCGTGCGCGATAATAATATAATGAAACATTATATAATAGAACGGCACGCACACGGGTAATGTCATTCGATTGTTACCGGCGGCTCCTCGCGTGCGCTACACCCAAAAAAAAGAGTAATTTCAGAACAAGCGGAATCATCTAAATTTTAGAGGATTTTATTCTTATATATGGCCTCAAGAGGTTCCCTCGAAGATTAAGAGGTAAATATTATAAACAAAATATTATTCTTAAAGTTAGAGGGATAATATGTTACGTATATGTATAAAGCAAACCTTATCGATTTTAATATAAATTTCCTCTTACACAGACTATTTAATCTTTTTTTAACAAGATTATTATTTATTCTTACTGTACTTTATTCTTACTGGTTAAATTGAAAAAATTATTGTAATGTATATATATATATATATCGAAAAGTCATCTATATAGATGCACTTCTGGCTCCAGTTCTACAATAAGTAGATACGGATGAAATAAAATCATCATAACAAACAAATTTCCAATCAGTTTTGTCATGGACTTCGTAGCTGTTCAAAGGTGTTCATCATAATCAATTGTATCGAACATAGTTAAAAGAAAGAATATATATTATTCAACTTCTTGCAGTAGATTATAAATTTGACTAAACATTTGACTAAACATGGGTAAATCATCTTCGTTATATGTTACAGCAACACACATATCTCTTTTGAAAAGCGTTTCAGATATTCTGACGTCATAAGTCATAAGTATATGATTATTTTTTCGTTCATGTCTAGAGGTAGAGCATGACTGAACAAGAAAGAAAGAAGCCGACGTTCAAACCAACATATTCTTCTTCATTTAAGAGAAAAATTAATTGATACAAGAGGAAATCCTCTTGAAATAAGAGGAAAACAGAGTAAGTCTACCTAGTAAATTCTAGATGAATGGTTCATTTTAATCGCTTTGTCAAAAGAGGAATCCTTTTCCTGTAAGAGGCTTCGCTTAGAATATGAGACTATGAGAAAAATCACTTTACAAATAGAATATTTTTTTTGGGTGATAAAATGGCGCTGGAACGGCTTTTCAACACTCACCAGTCGAAAACTCATTAGTCCTTACAATCGTGGCCGCCGCGTCCGGGTGTAATGTGATGCGATGTGACGTGACGTGATGCGCCGAGCTGTCAGAATGATAGATCAGCCGAATAATCAGGTCATAATGCATATATAATGTATTTCCAGATGCGGTACGATTGATTGAACGACCGATGAGTTTTGGCTCAAGGAAAACGCCTTGTTGCAGCCTGAGAATGTAAAATGTCGGCCACGCGTTTCCGCTGATACGACGATATCGCGTAATTTGTAATTTGTAATTTCGTAGCTTAAACAATAAAAACAATAGCTTAATTTTGTAACTTCTTCTTTCTTTCTCTTCTTATTTTCTGCTTTGGCAGTGTAGACGTATCGAAAGTGACGTGTCTATCGCGGGCGATCGTGCGAATGTCGAGAAGACCGAAGATCTTCCAACGAAGAAGATCCTCCCTCTCCGTAATGCGCCTGTTTCTCTCTTTCTCTCTCTCTCTCTCTCTCTCTCTCTCTCTCTCTCTCTCTCTCTCTCTCTCTCGCTCCGTCTATTCTGATCATTAGCATAAGCCACTCGCTTATGTAACCGCGTACTTTCTTTCCAAAGCTCGGCGCGCATCCCTCTCCCCTCGTTACTTGACGATATAATTCATGTCAGTCAATGAGATTCTCCTCGCGCCGCCGCCCGGACAGAATATGAATTTACGTGACAGAGGAAGTTTGAGTTTTGATTTTTTCTTTTTTTTTTTTTTACGAGACTGCGTCCCGATCGCCGACCGCTCGAGCACTTAAGTTTCACTTTTATCGCGAATGTTGGTAATTTAGTTAAATTTTTGACAACAGCTTTTGCCCACTTGCACGAGTGTAGACGTGTGATTAATATACACAAAGAAATTTCATCCTTAAAGAAACGATAAGCACACCAAACGTCTCTTCGTGTTCGCGAAATCGCCTGCGAAATGGAATTGAAATATTTAAAGATGGGTAAAAAAAAGAGAAGCAAATCGCATTTGTATTCATTGATCGGCAGTCAGGAAGAGCCATATGTATTTAAAGATAATGAGACCTTCCGTCTCGAAGACGACGATCTTCGGCGCTTCCGGGATTATATTTCACATTAAGAAACTTGTTTTCGCGCGAATCGGAAAGCATTATCCACTCTTTCTTATAAAATCAACCTCTTATTATGTATACAATGAAACTTCGGTATTTCCATTATGCGATGTAAATTAAATTCCATTATGTATTATATATGTATTATATATGTATTGATTATGCGTAATGTAAATTAAATTCCATTATGTATTATATAACAAAAATAAAATTTTTCTCACTCCCTCCGAGAAAATTCCGTATTTCCATAATGCAAATTAAATTTCTATTAGATCCATCGTGAAAATTCGGTGTGTTAAGTACTTGGTTAACGCATCGATCGATCATGAAAAATTTCGTGTTCTGCTAATTTGAGCGTCGTTAGCTGTTTCATGAGTTCTCTCGCATCTCGACGATGTGATTCATGAATGCACACAAAATAATGAATCGGGGACGATGATTAGTGAATGTCGTGAACGGTAAGTCAATCAGTATCGATCTTCGAGAAATAGTTGAAATAACGCGCATAGCTATGAAATGATACATTAACATAATGATTCGCAAGCTCGTCCGTAGCACTTTTACGCTCCTCGACTCTGATCTCGAATCACAAATATTCCGTTCTTCGACGGGAACCAGGTGGCGCAACAGGAGTCGCATATAGCATATCGTCCGCTAAGGAGCCACGGAATTTATACGACTAATACATACGACCAAATGCATTAGAGCTCCGCGCTTTATGATAATATCCGCATCGAGACGAGTCTGTACATTGCGCAACGCTCAAGACCACCGCAAGACCACCGCCGGATTGAGACTCAACGAGAGGATACGCGCGAGGAAAGGGATTTACGCCTTTAACCTTTAGTAAAGCTTATCTCTCAAAGTGCATTTGAAATTGCGAGATCCTGGTGTTAACGTTCGGATTACGATCGTACGTTCGCGGGTGATCTCAACGTACGCGCTCATTACACGCTCACCGTTCACGATCGATGAAGACGAAGGCGCTGTCACGCCGCGAAATCGGACGCTCTCGCGAGCGAAAATTAACGAATCTCGAGCCCGTCTCGTCGTTTAATTTAAAGTCACGACGCAGCCGCGTTACGTTACGTTGTCTGCTATCGCGAAAAGAAATCACACACACACACACATACACACACAGGCCGGCGAAAGATTTAGGTATCGACCTGGCCAGGTGAAACCATGGTGCCCGATGTCCTCCAGCATCCGTCCCCCGCATTCTTACGTGACATTCCCGGGAGCGTATCGTTGTTGTGCCATCGCACACGTCCGTCCGAACGGCTGGGGCCGTTCGGTCGACCGCCGGCTCGCCAGTCATTTAAGGATTTCGACACATGGACATGAAAATTTTGGCAGCGTCGCGGGCACGATGGTAGGGGCGTAATTGGTATAGAAATCCGGCTATATATATGCTCCATCAATGTAAGTCGCATCAGTTTCATAGGCCATCTCAGCTCAGGTAGTCACCTGTCCTCCTCCAGACGGAAAGCAGACGCATCGCAACCACCGCCGAGCATGAAGCTGGTACGCGCGCTTGAGACGCTACGATTCGTTAGTAACGAGCCGCCGACGAGTGCTAACGCGAGCGATTCTTGTGCACGATTTCGGACGGGAGTCTTCGGATTCTCGGGTCGAGTCTGCGGAACGATCGTGATCCTCTCGGTGCAGTGACCTCACGGTGGTTTTCGACCTCGCAGGATAATACGAAGCCGCGTACCGCCGGGCGGTCGGTAGCGCGTGTCACGATGCGGCGTGTTGTTAAAATTCATCGCTTGGCGTTATTGTCGCTCTTTCGAGCGGCACTTGGGATCGTCGCGGGCTTTTCCTCACGTTTCAATTGGCTAGCTGGAAAAGCAAGATGTCATTTGCAATTCGCGCACCATTCCTATGCAAAATTTGCCGTCATCATAATCACGGTCAGACGATATCAACAAGGTCGCAATGTCTTTTTACCTCGGTGACTTTTGCAACATATCCAATGAGAGAGAATTTGTTTTTCTTTCTAGCGATTCCCCAAGGGATGCATTTTTATTACGGGGTGCGTTGCAAAAATCGTCGAGGCAAAAGTGCGAGACTCGCGAGGGAGAAACCCCGAGATCCGGGGAAGTCGAGACAAAAAAAGTAGAAATAAATTACAACAGAGTACATTAAGCCGTACTCTCTCCCTTTTTCTGCACATCCAACCGTCTCACTCCACGCGATCAAAATTTGATAAATTACCTGAACGCTCTAACGACCATCCCTCCTGTTCATTCAGATCATCGCTCTCTTCGCCCTCGTGGCCGTCGCTGTCGCGGCACCAGTTCAAGACAACAGCCAGACCGTGGTCGTGAAGGAGACTCCCTTGGACAACATCGGCATCGACGGCTACCAGTTCGGTTACGAGCTGTCGAACGGCGAAAGCCGCGAGGAGTCCGCTCAGCTGGTGAACGCCGGCACCGAGAACGAGAGCCTTGCTGTCCAGGGTAGCTTCAGTTATGTCGACCCGGCCACCAATGTCAGATACACCGTCAACTACATCGCCGACGAGAATGGATTCCAGCCGCAGGGCGCCCATTTGCCGGCCTGAGTCGTCGATGAATTTAGTCTTTAAATAAATTCTTATTTTTACTTAATATTCTTTTATTTAATATTCTTGTTCTGTCTCTTTACCTCTTTCTCTCTCCCTCTCTCTCTCTCTCTCTCTCTCTTTCTCTCTCTCTCTCTCTCTCTCTCTCTCTCTCTCTCTCTCTCTCTCTCCCTCTCTCTCTCTCTCTCTCTCTCTCTCTCTCTCTCTCTCTCTCTCTCTCTCTCTCTCTCTCTTACTCAGGATTGGAAAGTAACGAGTTATTTGTAACGAAGTTACAGTTATTTCTTTTTTTTGGTAACTGTAACTTTGTTCCGCTTTTTTCCATCTGGTAACAGTAAATCAACTTGGTTACATTTGTTTGATAACTAGTAACTAATTTAATAGTTACTTTATATATTTCAAACTTAAGTTTCTGGCAGACCAGCACGATAACGCGACGTGCGATACGTGATATCCAATAAGCGTACAGTTATTCTGGCTGCATTTGGAAAACGCATTATTGCGTCATCTATCTTTATTGTTCATTAGATGTGAAACAAGGATAAAACTATGCAAAAGCGCTGATAGTCTCCTCTCCGAACGCGATTTCTTTCAAACCAATTGTACGCCTATTGGACATTTCCGTCGCGCGTCGCCAGTCCTTATTTGTTAACATAGCCTGCGTTCAGTGTGAAATGCGCTGCGTGGTTTCAGTTATATAAAAAATTCAAGCAATAGATAAAACACCTCAATCTTCAGAGAAGGATTGTAAAATGCCACGGCCAGTATATGCAGAAATATTCGAGTTATAGTAAAAACTTGAAAACGAGAACAACCGGGCACTTCTTTGTCCAATTGTTATTAATAGTCTTAAAGAGCAAATATAAATTGCTTATTTAAATTGATGAATCTAATTTGTAAAAATTATACACAATATGAGAGGAACGTATATAATAATCAACAAAGCACTTTTATATAAAATTGAAGGAATTTACACAATTACGAAATTTAAAATAATAGCGCAATTATTGTAAAAAAGTAACTGAAAAGTAACGACTCGTTACTTTCTAAATAACTATAACTGTAATATGTTATTTTTTAGAAGATCGGTAACTTATTTAACTGTAACTAGTTACTTTTTCAGTGAAAAAAACTGTAACTGTAACTAGATACTTTTGCAAAGTAACTTTTCCAACCCTCCCTCTCACTTGTACGATTCCTTCGTCTCCAACACGCTGCACTCGTCCGACGAGCGAGATGGTTCCGCGCGTTTCAATTCGGCGACGCATCGTACGGACGGTGCGGAATTTTTTTCCTCGTCACATGATAATCCTATCGCAATAAAATATTGTCGCAGTACGGCTGCCTCGTCTCATTACTTTCGGCTGCAATTCGGGAGCGAGCGAGAAGACGAGTCGTCGCGGAAAGTAAAAGTATACACGTCATCGTAGATTTAGGCTCGCGCGCAACTCATTCGCCCGTCTCGTTAGTTACGCCTGCTTTGGCGTGTTTTACCGTCGCAGTCCTTTTAACGCGCCTTTGGCGCGGTCGAAAATTGAAACTGCGCGCGTTCGCGGCGATTGCAAAAATTTGCCGCGGGCGACTCACGCGTGAGAAAATTGGATTTCTCGAAGAAACGCCACGCGCGCGCGACGGGGTTTTCTTATTCTTATTTATCGCAGGTGTCTCGAGACACGTCTCGTTTCTTCGCGTTTATTCTCGCGTACCGGCCATTTTACGCATGCACACGCGTAATATCTTACGGTCGTGTCGTAACGACAGAAACATCGCTTGTCGCGATAATCGATAACATCAATACTCGCCAATCGGAGACATCTGCAGAAACGAACGCTGCAAATGTCACCGTACAATCTTTGCGGGAACGAACAGCAATTATATTCGACAGGGCACATTTAATAAGGGGAGCCATTACGGGATACCAGGAAACGTCTCAACATGAATCATTATTGTACCATTGTATCGCTGTACGAAAAAATCCGTCGATTACAGCGATTGAATATTATTATCGTCCAAGTACTTTCATCCGCGTCCCGCTGATCAGCATGGAACGTTTGATAGTTCAGGCAAGGTTCGAGGATACGACAAATATTAGGAAAGTCTTTTTGTTTGTTAACTCTTTAATTAGAGCAATTATAAAATATTGATACATTAATTGAACGAAATTTAATTATGATTCTAAATTAATTAGCAATATTTCTTTACAGTATATATCAAGATCATCAAGATTTCATCAAGATCAAACTTACCCTTAGAAAATGGCAGCCTTCAATATTTGGTCGAGCAGATCTCGGTTTATCCTTTAGACTAAAATCAACCTCACGAAATCGCGCAAACCACATCTGATAGGTCCTTACTTTAATAATTCCTAATAACAAATGCCACTCCCTAACGCGTGTTTCCTCTTCATTTCTTTTCCTTTTCAATCGGTTTCCCACACCGAGCGAGCGTCTAATTTGTTGGCTTGCAGTTGGCAACAGGTTAAATGTAAATTAATGAGCCGCGCCATCGGCATCGCGATGCCGATCGATGATCGGCGGCGGTGGCATCAGGCGACGCTTCAAGTCTTCAACGCGTCGTCTCTCCCGAGTTCGGCCACTTGGCGACATTCCTTGCCGATGGCGTCCTAGGTAATCCGTCAATAAGACGATAAAGGGAACTCTCCGGGAGACGAGACACGTCGATTACGTTAGCGATGACGCGCGACTCACCTTTCGCGACTTAAAGTGTACAGTGAAAGAATCCGGTAGAGTAGTTTCCCTTGATCGTATCGGGAGCGACATTAAAATATATACATTATTTCTACGTAGATGATGTCTTCAAGGCTCCGGCGAGCCGTATTCCCCGAGAGCGCTTGAAATTTTGTCGACGGGGGAACGATCCTTGCAAGGAAGGAAGCACATCGCGCCCGATCGATGGATTTCTGCAATTGCACAAATTGCGTCGTCACTTTCAAGCAAGGATTTACAAGACGATCCTTCGCTTTTGCGGGGAACCACATTAATCAGCCGCAAAGGTTGCGTCGATTTAATTAACGATTGTGCGGAATGAAATGGGAAAATTTCGAGTGTCTTCACATTTACTTCTCCAAATTGCTGGAACCACTCGATGATGTTCAGGAAATAAGATTGATCATTTCACATCGGTGCTCACTTTTCAAAAATTCGCCTTTAAACGCGACGACATTCGGCCTCTTGAGTCGGTTGTCGTCCGAAAGAAGTATTAGATGTTTCGGTTAGTTTTGAGGGCTTCATATAGACGACTATTGCTACAAATCTATTGGAGATATTTTGAAAGTTGGTTTCGCCATTTTAAAGCTTAGACATTTCTACAAATAATTTCACTCATGGCATGCCTATTCGTGAACATAACCACACTTTTTGTGCGATCGAAAATAGAGCGTGGTAAAGAGGATTTTCGATATTTATTGCTTTATTGTTTCAATTCAAAGAAAACGGCCGCTGAAGCCCACTATTCTGCGATTCATCGCAGAAACTTATTCTGATCTGACTTTTCTCCATCGGTTAAAACATGCGAGTACTGAAATCGACCATTTCGATCTGAAAGACGAAGAACGTTCAGGTCAATAAAAAAAGTTTGAAGATGCCGAATTGCAGGCGTTATTGGATGAAAACTCAACTCAAACTTTAAGAACTTTAAAAACTAATTGAAGCATTAAATATTGTTAAATCAACCGTTTCGGATCGTTTACAGGCAATAGAGAAGGTTCAAAAACAAGGCAAATAGATTCCACATGCATTGAATTGCATCTGAATTGGCTATTCAAGATCGTTTAATCATTTGCACTTCATTGCTTTCTCGTCGCAAAAAGAAGCAGTTCTTGCATCAAATTATAACTGAAGATGAAAAATGGATCTACTATGATAATCCTAAGCGTAAAAAGTCTTGGATAAGTTCCAAGCTAACCATGGACATCGACTCCAAAACGCAACATCCATGGAAGTAAGGTTCTATTGTGCATTTGGTGAGACATGAAAGGTGTCGTGTTTCATGTTGCTACAACCGAATCAAATAGTCACTGCTGTGCGTTATCAACAATAATTAATCATGCTTTAAACCAAAAATGTCTAGTAATAGCTCAAAGAAAACGCAAAGTGATTTTGTTGCACGACAACGCTCGACCGCACGTTGCAAAAACAGTTAAGAATACATTATCGGCACTTCAATGGAAGGTCCTGCCACATGTCGCGTATTCACCAGACTGTGCTCCTTCCGATTATCACTTATTTCGATTTATGCAGTACAGCTTTGCCGACCAGCACTTCAAATCATATGAAGAAATACAAAAGTGACTCGATGAATGGATTGCATCGAAGGACGAACATTTCTTTTATCATGGAATTATATCTTGAATAAAATATAATTTAACGTCTCTCAAAAATAAACGTGTTTCTTTTGCAAAAAGTCCCTCAAAACTAGCCGGAATACCTAATAATCTGTTAATCTTGTTGCTCGTTGGTTGAAGTGAGAAACGATGCGTGTGAAAGAAATTTCGATTTCGTCATTGACGAAGCGATCGATTTGTCATTGAACGAAAGTACGAGGTTTCGGCTGGATCCATCCGAGCATTGTCCGCGAGGAATTTCCGCGAAGGTCAAAATGTTGACCACGGTAGACGCACGTGCGTTAAATAACGATATGGAAAGAAAGGTGAGAGGTGAATCGGCGTGGGCCCAGCCGAATGTTAGCAGTAGGAGGAGCACTATAAAATCGCCGCTGATTTCGTCTATTCACATCAGTCTTCTCTACCGAACAGAAGTAGCTGCATCTGCCTTCAACATGAAAACAGTAGGTATCCGAGCGACTGAAAAGGTGACAAAAGTAAAAAATCAGAAACATGATAGATTGTAATAAACACGTAATATACTCTATAATCACTTTTTACGAGCTGCAATGGGGGGGGGGAGACGATTTTCGATTCTGCGATTTTCATTACCGAGAATGAACAAAACAAACGGTAATCGCAAGTCAAGGCGTCGGGACTCGAGAAGTTCATCTCGGGCGACACAGTAGTTGCAACTCGTCTCTCGCGAACGAGCAATTCCGCGAACAATTGGCCAATTCTTGCGCATGAATGAAGGAATCGCGCTCTAAATCAACCATTCCTCCTATTCATTCAGATCATCGCTCTCTTCGCCCTCGTGGCCGTCGCTGTCGCGGCACCAGTTGAAGATAACAGCCAAACCGTGGTCGTGAAGGAGACTCCCTTGGACAACATCGGTATCGACGGCTACCAGTTCGGTTACGAGCTGTCGAACGGCGAAAGCCGCGAGGAGTCCGCTCAGCTGGTGAACGCCGGCACCGAGAACGCCAGCCTCAACGTACGCGGTAGTTTCAGCTTCGTCGACCCGGCCACCAACGCCAGGTACACCGTCAACTACGTCGCTGATGAGAACGGATACCATCCCGAGGGAGAACACCTGCCTGCCTAATGCCTTAACTTAGTGACCCACCAGCTGTAAATAACGCCTCTTGCCTGTATCCTCGAGTTCTCCACGATAGTGACTACGCTTAAGACCAACGCAGCATCTCCGTCGTTGTTCTTTCATCCTGATGACATCTCAATTTTCTCTTTGTACAATAACTCTGCTTATCTTGACAAATAAATAAGAACTTTATTTAAAAAAGGAGCACCAACGAGTAGTTTTTGCTTTCGGCAGTTGTAGCTAATAAACGTCGATTAACATCGATTCGAACAAGTAGAAAGTTTATTTTAAAAAGAAGCATGAGAGGGAGAGAGGGGGGAAAGAAAAGTTGTTTCTTTTCGTTTTCGGCAGTTGTAGTTAATAAATTATTAACAGTAGAACGTTATATATTAATATCACAATTTGCTGCTCACAATTTGTTGTTATTTTCTCTCTCTTACCATTGGTTTGTAGAACTGAGTAAATAAGTGTGCCTGACTTATTTTTGGCGAATTTTCACAAGGATCGTTGGTGACTCGTAGCAGAGACTCTGAAAATTAAAAAACTGAGAATTAACTTAGCCGAGATTCGAACCTTACTGAGCAAAGATCCAAACCTCATTTTTGCTTTATTCCCCGACGAGCTCGACTTTCTATTCCCAGTAGAAACAGAGATATTAAAAGTACAAGTTAAGGGTCTATAGGAGCCTATTAGAGATCTCTTGCGAAGACCCGCGAACTAGGCAAAATTATATTGCAAATTATGGACAAAATACGAAGAAAATCACCTTATATGTATGATATTTGCAATCAGGAGAAACGTCCGCAGGGTCGTACAGAGCGTTTTTTTGGAAAAAAAGTCGAAATAAAAATCGATTAAGTAATTTGAATCAACGTTCATCCCGCGGTGCAGCACGAACCTATATTTTCACTAATTACAAATTTTCAAGAACCTGAATGCAAAATCGGGCTCTGTACGACCCTAGATACTAATATAAGGAAGATATCCATGTATGTCTGATAAGAAAATATGATGTATGCGTGGCAAAATTTGTAAGTGTAGATAACACGGAAAGTGTAGCTCAGTTGCACTATAGTGCAGTCTATATGACCTAACCTTCCTGCCTTGAGTTCGCGCGAGCAATGCATTAGTATTAGCGTATACAGGGTGCACGATTTATCTGAAGACATTGAAATATCTCGAGAACTATGCATTGGATAAAAAAAAGTGGTTAATGAAAGTTGTTAGTCTCGAAGGGGGACATCCAATGATACCAAACTCGACCTCCCACTCCACCTCCTGGGGGTGGGGGTTGGGGGCAACTTTGAAATCTTAAATGGAAACCCCCATTTTTTATTGCAGATACGGATTCTACGCCACAAAATACGTAAATTTTGTCCGAAACTTTTTTTTTTATTCGTGATAGATGGCGCTGTAATCGCAGAAAATTATATTTTCCGCAATTCTCCAGAAATGATCATTGGATTGAGAAATAAAAAATATCTGTTCAATATTTTTAAAGAACATAATAAAAGTTATTCCCTCCCCATTCTCTCGGGGTAGGGTGGGTGATAACGTTCAAATCTCAAATGGGGACCCACATTTTTCATTGCAGAATTAGATTGTACGTGAAATTTTTATTGAAACAATTTTTTTCATTCGTGATAGATAGCGTTGAATTTTTTCGAGAAACTACTTTTAGCGTTACACAGGAACAACGACGAGGACGTAGTAGTTTTATGTTCCCTTCGGGTGCTTTTTTAATGTGAGTCCCCTTGCCTCTCATAGATCGGGATGCTTTTTTAATGTGAGTCCCCTTGCCTCTCACTGTTCAATTAATTAGAGTAAGTGTTCGAAATTTTTACCGTCAACTTCAATACACTTATTGATCCTTTTTTCAAATGACTGTACACAGGATAGAAGCATATCTGCGGGAGTTTCAGCGTAAGCGTTTCTTATGCGTTCTACCATATTTTCACGAGTTGTTGGCACTTGTTGATAAACCTTATCTTTTAGGTAACCCCACAGAAAGAAATCCGGCGATGTCAAATCAGGCGACCTAGCAGGCCAATTAATCGGGCCACCTCTGCCAATCCATCTCTGCCTTTTATAATAAGTCGTAGTTCGACATACACCCACAGTGGCGCGTCGAGCAGTTCCCTCTTCGATTCGGGTTCCCATTTGAGATTTGAACGTTACCACCCACCCTACCCTGAGAGGATGGGGGGGGAATAACTTTTATTATGTTCTTTAACAATATTGAACATTTAATTAACATTGAAAATATTGAATATTTAAAAATATTGAAGATATTTTTTATTTCTCAATCCAATGATCATTTCTGGAGAATTGCGTAAAATATAATTTTTTGCGATTACAGCGCCATCTATCACGAATAAAAAAAAAAGTTTCGGACAAAATTTACGTATTTTGTGGCGTAGAATCCGTATCTGCAATAAAAAATGGGAGTTCCTATTTAAGATTTCAAAGTTGCCCCCAACCCCCACCCCCCAGGGGGTGGGGTGGGAAGTCGAGTTTGGTATCATTGGATGTCCCCCTTCGAGACTAACAACTTTCATTAACCACTTTTTTTTATCCAATGCATAGTTCTCGAGATATTTCAATGTCTTCAGATAAATCGTGCACTCTGTATATGAGCAGTGCATAAGTATTGCCGTGTGTATGTGTATGAATACCTTCCAGCTTCCACTTTAAAACATAAGATATTTTGCCACGTTGACGATATATGTAACCATTAAATTGATATGGAATATTCCTTGAACTATTATCGAGGTCCCTACGGAGCCAGATTTTGCAATCCAGCCGTCCATAATTTATGAAAAATAAATGAAGCGTCCGCCGTACCAAGCATCAGTGCGAGTCACTCGAAATATCATTTTACGAGATGCAATATTTCGTCTCTTTGACGATACGTATTATTATCAAATTGTTGCAGCATCTTCTTCGTACTATTTCTGATATCGGTACAAAGCCGGATTTTGCAATCTGGTCGTCAAAAGTTTATAATATATAAATAAAGCCATCCGTCGTACCAGGCGTTAGAGCAAATCAGTTGAGAAATGATTGCAGGAGATGCAAAATTTCACCTCGTTGACGATATATTTAACCGCCAAATTGTTATAGCATCTTCTTTGAACTAACCCCGAGAAACCTACAGAGCCAGATTTTGCAATCCAGCCGTCAAAAATTTATAATATTTTAATAAAGCGAGCGTCATACGAAACATCGCAACGAGTCCCGCGAAATACCATGTTACAAGAAAAAATGTTTTGCCTCGTTGCACTCATATATTACCACCAAATTATTATAACATATTTCTCGATTTATTTCCGAGGTCTATACAAAGCCAGATTTCGCAATCAGGTCGTTTAACTTTTATCACAAATAAATAAAGATGCACCAAGCGTCAAGGCGGATCACGCGAATACAATTACGACAAGAAGAGATATTGACGATATATGTAACCGCCAAATTGATATGGAATATTCCGTGAACTATTATCGAGGTCCCTACAGGGCCAGATTTTGCAATCTGATCGTCCAAAGTTTATGAAAAATAAATGAGACCGCCGTACCAAGCATCGCTGCGAATCACTCCAAAAATTATTTTACGAGATGCAAAATTTCTTCCCCCTTTAACGATACGTATAATTGCTAACTGTTATAGCATCTTCCATGAATTATCCCTGAGAACCTTACACAGTCAGATTATGCAATCAGGCCGCCCAAAATTTATAATATATATATAAAGCATCAGCCGTACCAGGAGTTGCAGCGAGTCAGGTGGAATACCATTTTACAAGAAGCAATATTTTGCCTTATTTACGTAATATATGAACTTGGTATAGCATCTTCCTACAACTATTCCCGAGATCTCTACAGAGTTAAATCTTACAAACAGGCCGTCAACAATTTATTATACATAATTAAATCGTCAGCTGTACCAAATATCGCAGCGAATCAGGCGGAATACAATTTTACAAGAACAAATATATTGCCTCGTTGACAATATATATAATCGCCAAATTATTATGGTATTTTTCTTGAACTATCCCCGAGAACCCTACAGAGCCAGATTTTGCAAACCGGCCGTCAAAAATTTATCATACATTAATAAAGCGTTCGCTGTACCAAGCGTCGCTGAGAGTTACTAGAAATATCATTTTCATCACATCAAGAGATGCAATATTTCGTCTCTTTGACGATACGTATTATTACCAAATTGTTACAGTATCTTCTTCGTACTATACCCGAGATCGGTACAAAGCCGGATTTTGCAATCCGGTCATCAAAAATGTATAATATATAAATAAAGCGCCCGTCGTACCAGGCGTTGGAGCGAATCAGTTGAAAAATCATTATAGAAGATGCAAAATTTCACCTCCTTGACGATATGGTTCACCACCAAATTGTTATAGCATCTTTTTTTATCCCCGAGAAACCTACAGAGCCAGATTTTGCAGTGAGGCTGTGAGAAATATATCATAAATAAATAAAGATTTATGAAGCGTCGGAGCGGATCACGTATAGTACTCGTAGCATTGTACAAAATGAGATATATTCCTTCACTGATGTAATATATCATCATCATATTGTTATAGCATATATCTAAAACTATTCGCAAGATCCTCACAAAGCCAGATTTTGCAATCGAGCTATCTAACTTTTATTATAAATAAATAAAGATGCATCAAGCGTCAAAGTGGATCATGCGAATACAATTTCACAAGAAGAGATATTCCGCCTTGTTGGCGTAATATATATGTAACCGCCGAATTGATATGGAATATTCCTTGAACTATTATCGAGGTCTCTACAGAGCCAGATTTTGCATTCCGACCGTCAAAAATTTATCATATATTAATAAAGCGTGTGTCGTACGAAACATCGCATCGAGTCTCGCGAAATACCATGTTACAGGAAAAAATATTTTGCCTCGTTGCTGTCATATATCAGTACCAAATTGTTATAACATATTCTTCGATCTATCCCCGAGGTCTCTACAAAGCCAGATTTCGCAATCAGGCCGTCTAACATTTATCGTATATAAAAGACTGTACCAGGCATTGCAGCATGTCACGTACAATACAATTTTGGAACATTTATCGTACATAAAAGACTGTACCAGACATTGCAGCATGTCACGTACAATACAATTTTGGAACATGAGAAATATTGTCTCGTTAATGTAATATATCACCATTAAATTGTTCGGCTGTATTCCTTGTATTATTTCACTAACGTCACTATAAAGCAGGGTTTTGATTATTAACATATATATATATATTATAAGCGACTGTACGGGACAACAACAGGTAACTGTTAACTGTTAACTCCTACAAGTAACTGTAGGAACCATTAAAGTTGTTGTAATATTAGAAGTTTATTAATGAATTTATTTTTATTTTTTATATTTCAGGACCGATTTTGTAAATATATATGGGGGGAGGGGCAGGGTACCAAATTTCAAACGTAACAAACAACGTAAAAAATCTTGAAAACTATGAAAGATATTAAAAAAGCTAATACAACGTGTTCCATGATTTCGAAGGGGAAAGAGAATGGCGTTATCAGTTTTTTATTTGGAAGGCATTTTCAAAGTTGGTTGAAGTTCAACTTAATTTTTTTAAGTTGGAAGCCTAATTTTCTATTATATCTTCTTTTTCTACCAATTAATTTGAACAACTTTTGTTTGAAATATTTTTTTATTTGCCTAATATTTTTTAGAAATATTTCAGGGAAACTTGATAACTTTTTCAACATTTAACTTACGATATCTCGCTAACTATTCGTCGACAGAAAAAATAGTATTAGACTTTTTTACTTTATTTACTATCAAGAATATGTTGCTATAATCAAGAATATATTACTATTGTATAGTATACTATTGTATACTATATAATAGTGTCCTAACTTTTGTTAATGTAATAATTCTGAAATTTCCAAAGTTCTATAAGTTAACAAAAGTTAGGGCACTATTATAATAATATATTCTTGATAGTAAATAAAGTAAAAAAGTCTAATACTATTTTTTCTGTGGACGAATAGTTAGCGAGATATCGTAAGTTAAATGTTGGAAAAGTTACCAAGTTTTCCTTAAATATTAAATATTTCAAAAAATATTAGACAAATAAAAAATGTTTCAGGCAAAAGTTGTTAAAATTAATTGGTAGAAAAAGAAAATATAATAAAAAATTGGGTTTTCTATTTAAAAAAATTAAGTTGACCTTCAACTCACCTTGAAAATGCCCTCCATATAAAAAACTGATAATACCATTCTGTTTCTCCTTCGAAAATATGGGACACGTATTTTAGCTTTTTTAATATCTTTCATAGTTTTCAAGATTTTTTACGTTGTTTGTTACATTTGAAATTTGGTACCCTGCCCCTCCCCCCATATATATTTACAAAATCGGTCCTGAAATATAAAAAATAAAAATAAATTCATTAATAAACTTCTAATATTACAACAACTTTAATGGTTCCTACAGTTACTTGTAGGAGTTAACAGTTAACAGTTACCTGTTGTTGTCCCGTACAGTCGCTTATAATATATATATATATGTTAATAATCAAAACCCTGCTTTATAGTGACGTTAGTGAAATAATACAAGGAATACAGCCGAACAATTTAATGGTGATATATTACATTAACGAGACAATATTTCTCATGTTCCAAAATTGTATTGTACGTGACATGCTGCAATGTCTGGTACAGTCTTTTATGTACGATAAATGTTCCAAAATTGTATTGTACGTGACATGCTGCAATGCCTGGTACAGTCTTTTATATACGATAAATGTTAGACGGCCTGATTGCGAAATCTGGCTTTGTAGAGACCTCGGGGATAGATCGAAGAATATGTTATAACAATTTGGTACTGATATATGACAGCAACGAGGCAAAATATTTTTTCCTGTAACATGGTATTTCGCGAGACTCGATGCGATGTTTCGTACGACACACGCTTTATTAATATATGATAAATTTTTGACGGTCGGAATGCAAAATCTGGCTCTGTAGAGACCTCGATAATAGTTCAAGGAATATTCCATATCAATTCGGCGGTTACATATATATTACGCCAACAAGGCGGAATATCTCTTCTTGTGAAATTGTATTCGCATGATCCACTTTGACGCTTGATGCATCTTTATTTATTTATAATAAAAGTTAGATAGCTCGATTGCAAAATCTGGCTTTGTGAGGATCTTGCGAATAGTTTTAGATATATGCTATAACAATATGATGATGATATATTACATCAGTGAAGGAATATATCTCATTTTGTACAATGCTACGAGTACTATACGTGATCCGCTCCGACGCTTCATAAATCTTTATTTATTTATGATATATTTCTCACAGCCTCACTGCAAAATCTGGCTCTGTAGGTTTCTCGGGGATAAAAAAAGATGCTATAACAATTTGGTGGTGAACCATATCGTCAAGGAGGTGAAATTTTGCATCTTCTATAATGATTTTTCAACTGATTCGCTCCAACGCCTGGTACGACGGGCGCTTTATTTATATATTATACATTTTTGATGACCGGATTGCAAAATCCGGCTTTGTACCGATCTCGGGTATAGTACGAAGAAGATACTGTAACAATTTGGTAATAATACGTATCGTCAAAGAGACGAAATATTGCATCTCTTGATGTGATGAAAATGATATTTCTAGTAACTCTCAGCGACGCTTGGTACAGCGAACGCTTTATTAATGTATGATAAATTTTTGACGGCCGGTTTGCAAAATCTGGCTCTGTAGGGTTCTCGGGGATAGTTCAAGGAAAATACCATAATAATTTGGCGATTATATATATTGTCAACGAGGCAATATATTTGTTCTTGTAAAATTGTATTCCGCCTGATTCGCTGCGATATTTGGTACAGCTGACGATTTAATTATGTATAATAAATTGTTGACGGCCTGTTTGTAAGATTTAACTCTGTAGAGATCTCGGAAATAGTTGTAGGAAGATGCTATACCAAGTTCATATATTACGTAAATAAGGCAAAATATTGCTTCTTGTAAAATGGTATTCCATCTGACTCGCTGCAACTCCTGGTACGGCTGATACTTTATTTATATATTATAAATTTTGGACGGCCGGATTGTAAAATCTGACTGTGTAAGGTCCTCAGGGATAGTTCAAGGAAGATGCTGTAATAGTTTAGCAATTATACGTATCGTTAACGAGGCGAAATTTTGCATCTTGTAAAATAATTTTTGGAGTGATTCGCTGCGATGCTTGGTACGGCGGACGCTTTATTTATTTTTCATAAATTTTAGACGGCCGGATTGCAAAATCTGGCTTTGTGGGGATCTCGGGAATAATGTAAGGAACATGCTATAATAATTTGGCGGTGATATATAACGTCAGCTAGACAAAATACGTCAATTTGTAAAATGGTATTGCACGTGAGTCGCTGCGACACTTAGCTCACTCACCCAAAAGCCTGAAAAGCATTTTCTCGCCGTGTATCGGCCGGCGAAATACCCGAGTGAATAAGACAAGGACAGTGCGATCGATTGTTCGTCCTTGTCATATTGACTTGACCCAACCTTCCTGCTCTTGCGCTCGCGCGCACGGTGTTGATTCGCGATCTCGCCGCACGAGGCCTCCAAAGTCAACGCTGGATTTGTCCCTGGCTCCTATAAACCCTTAAATACTTTAACCTTCGATATCTCCTAAACGGTTAAAGATACAGGAACGAGCCTTTGTCTCCTAAACGTTTCAAGGTAATGGAACAGGCTTTTACCACAATATAGTCCTATATCTATCCTATTCTCACTATAAAGCTCGACTTTCAATTTCCAATAGAAACGGAGATGTTAACAATGTGCGAGCCGTGCTTGTCAAGTACGCTATTATGGTTGTAGCACGGACATAAACCGCCTGAAAATGGATGTAGTACGGACTGCCAGTACATGTAGGTTTTACCGCCGAAACCTAAAAGATGTAGCATCGTTCCCCTTCAAAAGTTGAGAGTTCCCCTCTCAAAATGGATGCAGATGGCGCCCTTTCACAGTGCAGAAAGTTCGGTGTCGCCGAAAACGCCGTGTTGGCCGTTCTCATGTTCCTCTCTAGTAACAGTTATCGAGTTATTAATTCAGAAATCCGACAGTAACCGCGGTACAGCAGCTGGATTCTGTAACTCGTTATTGGATTTAACAACTCTTTCGTTATCGTTGCGCAGCTTTTCTACGGTATACAAAAGCTGCGCAAAGATAACGAAACTGTTGGTAACTCTAATAACGAGTTAAAGAATCGCACCACTGGCCTAGTCGATTCAGCAACTGTTAGCTGCGAGACGTAGGAGCGGCGAGATGAAACATGAATACCACCGGCGTGGTGAATTTTCCCCCACCTCGCATCGGCAATAGTTACTAGCTGTATTATCATGAGTGTAGCTAAATCGGTATTATCTTTGTTCTTCAATTACCTCTGGGCCCTTGGTCAATACAAAAATTTACCCAGGGTTGGCAATCTTTATATTACCTCGTCGGTGATTATATACAGTAGTTGCCGATAATGGTGATAATCTGAATGCTCCTTGATAACAATCTCCTTGATGAAATCTAATCTGTTTTTTTTTTCGAAGATTTTTTTAAACTGGAAAAGAAATCGAGACGATGTTCGACCTCAAAGGAAAGTAGAATCGAACATCGATTCATCGATCGAACATCGTTCTTCCCGGGTAAGTTCCATTTGGTGATTGCGTCCGAGCAGGTTATCATTTTGTTTCTGTTTAGCATTCAGCAAGAAATAAGGATAGAACGTTCGCGGCTGACGCGATCGCCAAGTGGAACTTACTCCGTGTTGACACGTCAAATTGTCAATTTTACAATACGGAATTCAATTCCAACCTCCGAATCGAACAGTGACGCTTAACCAAACTCTAATAATATTTACCGAACAATGGCATTGGGAGATTTGTCTGATTAGACGTTTGGAGTCGGGATTAAGAGAGCGAGAGAGGGAGAGAAAGACAATTTTACAATACACATACTCGTGCTCCGCTCCGGGTTTCCTCGCGTCATTATGGCATTTAATCGTAATTTCTAACACCAAGACAACACATTTATCGCTACAACACGAACAGGTCAGCGCGTTCCCGATGATTTCGGTTATTTTACTGATAAACTCTCGCGATACTTCGTCGTAAAGCATTTCGCTTTTCACAGTAGTGTTGAGGTTAGGCTTCTGTTCTAATTTCACTCTTACGTTCATTACCTTTCCCTTCCGCACGAAATACGGACACGTACACGATTTGCGTGAAATTACGCAAGAAAGTGAAGAGAAAAGGCGAGAACACATCGCGAGAAATCTGCTCGGACTGTGCGATGTGACTACTGTTTGACCGTTTGTGAACGAAAGAGATTAACTCGCGAGCACAGAGGCCGAAGATGCCGAGATTCAGGATGCTGCCTCGTACATCGCAAATCGTGGCTCTCTGCTCCGCCGCGAATTTCATCAACGCCGCAGACCGAGTCATCATGCCGATCGCGATCGTGCCAATGACCGATGAATTTAAGTGGAATCTGTACTGGCAAGGCTGGATACTCTCTGCCTTCGCTTTCGGATACTTTACCAGTCAGGTGAAGTAACAAACTACTTATGTATCATTGTTATGTAAACATGTATATTTGTATCAATGTATTGTTTTGTTTCTTCTTTAAGATTATCGGTGCTAGTACAGCGAGTCGCTTTGGTTGCAAGACAGTACTCATGCTAGCGGTTCTGTTATGGTCAATTAGTACAGTGGTCACTCCGTTGCTAGCACAGTCTTTGCCATTGTTGATAGTTTGCAGGGTAGTTTTAGGACTCGGTGAAGGATTAGGTAAGTTTGAAGTAATGGTAGGACACCCAGTGGTAGGATTATGATTTATTATATTGTTGATTATTATATTATTATATTGTGTGATATAACAGTCAATAGGTTGTTCTTTCTCCACAGGCCTACCAGTGATATTTCACTTATTTGCCCATAATGTTCCTGTGGAGGAAAGATCACGTGCTTTTGGTTATTTGATAGCTGCTGGCTCTGTTGGCCAAGTGGTCGCATCTGTTGTAAGTTTACTCACACGGAAGATCGTACTTTACAAGTTACAGGTAAGTACTTATGTTCTCCACTGTACTCTCTTTTCCAGATATGCCCACGCTTGGCATGGCAAAGTGGATTTTACCTATTTGGGACTACAGGTATTTTGTGGACTTTGTTGTGGCTGATACTGTATCAGGAAACTAACTCTCAGGACGAAATACCGTTATTTGTTCCTAAGGTGAATTTCTAGGTTCAGTTATTTACATTTGATTACTGTGCGATAGGTACAACACGCATTTTTGAATATTTGATAGGTAACTCAAAATAGAAACTTGCGATGGACCGAATTTATTGCTCATTGGCCTCTCTGGGCTTTGTACATAGCGCATTTTGCAATGAACTGGACTAATTATATAATAATGCAATGGCTGCCAACTTACTTGGCAAGAAATCTGTCCGCGGATAAGAGAAGCATCAGCTTGACGGCTCTCCCTTACATTGTTAACTCTCTTATTGGTATTGGTGAGTGAGCACAATAGCAAATTGCAATTTTCCAATTTTATTAAAATGTGTCTGGAAAAACATTTCTCTTGTTTGTTTTATCGCAGTTGCTGGTCATAGTGCTGATAGCTTGATACAAAAGAGGTGGTCGGTATTGTCCGTGAGAAGATTAATGACAAATATAGGCCTAGTAGGACCAGGTGCATTCCTATTGGCTTTCTGTGCCGTAGATAATCTCCTCGCGGCAGTCATGTATGTGCAACAATCTCTGTATCACTATACATTTGCACTATCGTTTGTTTTGCTTTCATGATAATGGGATTTTGCATGAATCACACGCGAATTGCAATTTTGCAGCTTCGTTTCGATATCCATGGGCCTCTGTGCGTGCAATTCTGCCGGGCATCTCAGCAATCACGCGGATATAGCTCCGAATCATGCGGGAGTTACATTCGCAGTTTCAAATACGATTGTAAGGATACTTTTGAAGTATACATCTACACATCACAGTGTAGCATTGATTAATATGTCACGTGGTCCATTTTTAGGCGACAGTACCTGGAATTCTATGCGGCCCGCTGACGGCCGAGCTAGTGACTGCCTCGCACGGCTGGTGGATGCCGGTGTTTGTGTTAGCGGCCGCAATTAATTTCACTGGAGCTATAATATACCAAAGCCACAGCTCGGCGCTTCCAGTATTGTGATATGTTCTACCCTTCGGGCAACGGTTGCGCATCGCCGAAGAGAAGGGAGCGTTTGAGTGTCCGTTGAAGACCATGCAGAGATGCATATTTGCATTGAGTCTGTTATGAGCGATTTTCTAGTGTATTAACTGTGAATACCTGCGAAAGTTACACACCACAAACACTACACGCATATATACATATACACTCGTACATATTTATGCGGCGCGTTCGATTCATTACGCATCGGCCAGTCGATAACATATCAAGTTGCTGTATTTATATTTTAATTGAGTGATCATCATTGAATTAGTTGAATGTGATTTTCAGAAATAGTGCCATAGTCTCTATTTATATAACATGGATGTACAGGACGAGATTGGCTTGAAGGATTAACCGAGGATGTGTTTGCGAAATTTATTACGCGCTTTAATTTATATTATATGTATATATATATATATATATATATACACACACATATTATATATATATATATAATATATATATATATATATATATATACACACATAGTGAATTAATGCGGAAAACATTTTGTGATATGTTCTGATATATCAGATTTTAATTTAACCAGAGTTATATAGGATACGAAGTGTATATTCTATATATAACGCGTAAGACTGTATATAAAAGAAATTTGAACTTTCACGTTTATATGTATATATATATTTTTAAGTAATTTAAAACATCGAAGAAAGAGAAGAGGAGCAAGAGAGACACGATTGATCGGTGTGTCGCGGGGAAGTCGGCAAAACAGCAAGGTTTACATGACCTTAAAATTTACAAATGGTTTAACAGTAACACAAAGCGAGCTGATTCTAAGAAGCAAGACGATGCTTTTATGCGGCCATCAGACGCGACTGACATTATATTATATGGTTTACAAGAGCAGGTCCTTTCTTAAGTATTCCGACCGCAATATCTGCGACAATTTATTTGTGAGTACACTTTTGTTCAGAATGTCCAATCCTGTTTTAATAAAAGCGTGATCTTCGCAAGCAGTCGCGTTCGATTGTTTCCAAGTACCAGCGAGTTTCGCGTCGACGAGCTCCAAGTTATTCTCAGGCGAGAACGTGTCCTTGCTCCGTCCAACGACATCGGCGGACGTGTCCGAACAGCGATTTTCCTCGATGTCCTCTCTCGCGCTTCTCTCCGTATCACCGCAGGTGTTTTCGCATTTCCCGTAAAAGCAAGGCGACCCGATATCGAGGCTCGCGAGTGTACCTGCTATATCGCTCGCTACTTTCGCGTCTCGTAAACGCTCGTCCGCCTCGACATCGGGCAACTTGCGAGTCCTGCCGATATAATCTTGCAAATACTTCTCGATAGAAGCTCTGACGCTCGTTCTCTGTGCGCCGTCGCCTTTAAACGTCATGCCCGTATCTTGCTTTTCGCACCATCTGACACCATCAACGATACCACGCGCGTGTACATTCGTATGCACAGATCGCGTCTTCGCGGCAACAAGCCCCGGCGACAAGTTGTCACTCGAACGTTCATCCGCTGACGTACTCGCGGCTCCGCCGAATAGCGCAGGTGTCGTGTCTTCGTCGATTAAATCGAGGTTGCTCGGATGGTCGTAACCTGCCGATTCGAACCTTGCTCTTCGCTTGGGAAAAATGATCCTTCTCGCGATTTCGACGTCCCTCTCCAAGCTCGGCCTGCTCGCCGCCGCTTGTAAGACGTCGGTCGCGCTTTTGCGCAGGTAACGGTTCGCACCGGGTCTCAGGTGCCGCTTCTGAAGTCTGTCTATGTCACGTGTCATCTCGCCGATTATCGCGTGCCCCTTGCTCGTGCAGACGTCGGCCTTCTCCTTCGTCCAATTCTGGCCCTGCTGCAACGCTCGCCAAGCCGACTTTACGTATTCCACCTCGCGGTTTATGTCGCCTTGCTTATCTGGAGTGTGAATGATTATTGTTCTTTCTTTGTGCAGGTCTGGATACGATCGCGATTGGGGGAATTCTTCAAAGGAGAAAAAGCGAGCAGGAAAATGGCCAAAACAAAGAGACTCACGTCCGGCATGCAGTCTTTTGCTCGCCGTTCCCGTCCTCCGGCCCTCCTTGCCGAGTTCCGGCAGGCAGGCGTCCCGATCAGGACCCGTTGAGTCTGGATTATCCGTTATGAAGTCAACGCGCGAATTTAATTCCGGCAGGACTGACGTTTCCCGTCTCACGAGGGCCGCGTTACGATTCAATACAGACTTGGTCAACGTAGGAGCTACATATACAGTCAACAGATATTAATTCCCGCGGGTTAGAATATATAGGGTTAGAGTCTTTTTAATAATCTCTAAATCTTAATATAGGCAAATATTTCGAAAATGTGCAATTTTACAAAACAAATGTTTCAAATAAAAGTTAGGAATCGGACGTCTTAAGACGTTCTAACCCGAACATATATATATAAAAGTTGCATGGTTTAAAGGCAGACGTACAATAGTGCCCTTGATTTGACCTTGAAACGTGTATTTAGGGTCAAATAAAGATCATCTTAATTTTTCCAAATGGAAATCTTAATTTTTTATTATATCTTCTTTTTCTACCAATTAATTTTAACAACTTTTGTCTGAAATATTTTTTTATTTGACTATTTTTATTATATTTTATTATATTTAAGCAAAATTTGATAATTTTTTCAATATTTAACTTTCGATATCTCGCTATTTGTCTGAAAAAAAAATAGTACTTGACTTTTTTATTCTACTTGATCTCAAGAATATATTGTTAGAATAGCGTCCTGACTTTTGTTAATTTGGTGATTTTGAAATTTCCAAAAGTCGATAAGTCGATAAAAGTCGATAATTGTCCCCCTTTAAACCATACAACATTTGAAACATCTCATTTGAAACATCTTTTTGTAAAGTTGTACATTTTCGAAATATTTGCTTGTTAAAATTAAAAAGACTCACCCTGTAAAGCAGAGCTTTCCTCTCATCGTATTCTTCATCTTTGTACACTTCCAAACAGTTGGAAGGTACGTCGGAGATGACATAAGAAAATCGTCCTGCTCGTTCACGCTCGATCAACGTTGTATACGGTGTTCAGCGTATATTTTAACGTACGAGTAAAATGGTATAGTATGATTTCTACTCGACACCTGTTTTCGCAAGAGCTGACCCTTGACCCGGGTTGCGCGCGGACGGCAGCGAGCGGACGTGCGGCGTTAATGAATTCGTGCGCTCGGCGCGGTCGGACAGGCGAAATTCGTAGACGAGATTCCTTGTTGCCGGGACTCTCACGCGACTCGGGCGCACTTTTTTGCCCTGCTTTGTTATATTCTCCGCTATCTGTTTCGGAGAGTTTTCTCATTAATGTCGATAATGAGCCGCTCTCGTAATGGGAAAAGAGACCTCGCTGCGATCTCAACGAAATTTTTAACTACAGCACGCGTACTACGCGTACAATTTCTAGAGAGAAAGAGAGAGGGGGGGAGTGGGATTAATTAAAGGCCACGCGTTTAATTAAAAAGAACAGAAGCACCGACTGAGCGTACAATGTCGCGCCCAGCTTTAGCTGCACGAAACCCCTTCCTGGACCGCTTCGTCTGGATTAAATTTGGAACCGTGTCGAGTCGTGGACTGCCATTGATGTCGTTACTCGACCGATCCTTTCGCGGATCCAGATTGCCAGCGGGATCGCTGTGCGCCTTGGGAGCCCACGAGGATTTTGACGATTGCTGCCGCTCGACGTTAGCCAGACGCGCTCTGCAATTGGTAGAGTCGCAACTTTACTTGGTCGTCTTGAAATTGTTCGAACGCGTAGCGACCAGCGTGCACTGAATCGCGATTATCAACGAAAAAAGAAGCACGGCCTTCACCTTGTGCAAACATTTGTGCGCTCGGAGCCTTCGCAGCGCCGTTCGTCTCCGCCTTTGTTGTCCTGCGCGGAATACTGTGATTCCGTCGTTCCTTTAGCCGGCTTTCGAGCAGCGCGCCGCGATTTCCGCAAGTGCCTGGAAATTCGCGTTCCACAGACTTCTATATATAAGCTAGACTGAGAACTTCCATTAGTTTTCATGTATAAAAGCATCCCTTACGTAAAACATAGAATCATGCGCGTATGCGTATTGCAAGGTCCCGAAAGGAATGTAACTGCACCACACAGGCATTTGTATTCTAGAAAATGTTAATATTTATCCAATATTTAATATTTATGTGAACATTGAATGTGTTATTGAATGCGACATTGCAAGAGGGAATATTAAATATTGGATAAATATTGACATTTTCTGGAGTAAAAATGCCTGTACGGTTCAGTTCAGTTCAGTTCAATATATGGCTCCGGACTGCATTCAGTTTTGTCCATACGCCATTTTCCAGTGGTATGAAGGTAAAAGAAAAACAGGGACGACGCGTACGCAGTCTCCACGATCAAAAAATATGTCTAGTTACAGGAACCACATCCAACCGCCACGGAGGTGAACAAGAGACTCTATGCCTGTACGGTGCAGATACGTGCCTTTCGGGACCTTGCAACGCGCACGTGCGAAATTTTAATACACACTTTTAGGGGACATGTAAAAGAGGACCAGTTATCGGTCTGGTGCAGCGATTTTTAACCGATGTGTCGTGAGAGGATCCAAGGTGTGCCGTGAAAATTTTTAAGAATTTTAACTGTCATCTTTTTATTACAAATTATAATAAATTGTTTTGTTTTCATTTTTTGGCCGTGATGGTGCATTTTGTTCGTGTAGTAATAGATAAATCAAAAAAGATATATTCTTCTTTTGATCGTCATAATTTAAGTGTGCCGCGGAAGTTCAACTATAGGTTTAAGTGTGCCGTGAGATAAAAAAGGTTGAAAAATACTGGTTTAGTATATAATATAGAAGTCTGTGGTCCCGTCATTCCATGCGCGTGCAACCGCCGCACGAACGTGCAATTTGGGTGCTCACCTCGTCGCTGAGAGCGCGGGCAATCGTCCGTCGGATTGAGCCGCCGGCCCCGACGGCGCTTCTCGCTCTGTGTCCTGCAGGAAAACCGTCAAGGCGTTAATTCTGTTGTACTCCTCGCGATTTTGCTCCTTGGCGCGGGCCGCGATCTGACTTGTTGCGATCCGAAGGGTGTCGACGCGCGATGAGGTGTCGGATCGCCTCGATGACGTCTCGAGGATGAAGGAAACTGTCTAAGCGGACAGTTCTCCCCTTTCCGGAACTTTCTTCAAGTTACACTCGATGGGATTGTATCTTCCACTTTTCAGCGAGCCTTTCGAGCTCCAAGCGACCAGGCTCGCACGGGAAGAGAAGGCCCGTGGATTGCGCGGCGGTCATCGATGACAACCTTCCCGGCACGATGATCGCGAGCGAGCGACGTCAAGACTCGATTTAACAAGAGAAGAACACTGGAAAGGGGGGAGGGGGGCAGGGAAGAGCGAATGTAGGAATGGTCGCAAGTCGAATTTGAAATCAGAAGAACAGAACGTCGCAGATATTTATCAGTCTTTATTCGTGTAACTAATCGACAGATCAAAATATATTATATTATTTTTATATATATTTATATTTATATATGTATAGATGTCGTCCTTTATGACGACATCCGATACAGCTAAACCCACGGGCGACGGGATCGCGCCAGGCCTCGTTTATCACTGATATAATTTGAGATACAAGGAAAATGTTTTGCGCTCGTAGTTTCTTAGTCGATATTAAATGCCATGCAATCGGGCCGTGAGTTGCGAAAGCTCAAATCAAGTCCAGCTTGATCCTTTTGTGCGGGTTCTTCTCACGTAGTGTAAAGAGGGAGAGAGAGAGAAAGGGAGAGAAAGAGAAAGAGAGAGAGATGTAAAGAGTGTGAAAGCAACAACACTGCGCGATATTATTCATTACGTACGACTTTCCTATAGAGATCTCGTCCTAGAAATTAGCGCGAGTCGACCGTTACACCCTACATTGTCGCACCTCGTCGTCCGGCCAACGAGAGAGTCGTCGGGCCCTGCGCGAGCGAGAGAGCCGCGCGAAGGACGAGCGCGTCCGTGAGACTACGAGTACTTGCGAAGCTTCTAAAGGGATCCGCGCGGTCGCTCGGGCACATCGGTGGCGGAAGAGGTCGGAACGGAAGATACGACCGAAGAATCAAGCTGACACAGGGACAACGCATAGGGGGAGGGCAGGAAGGGACGAAGACGAAGGAGAGAGAGGACGTGAGATATCCGGCTGTTCCCCGCTGTCTTCGCAATGGTCGCGGCGAATTCTCTGACGAGGCTCACGATGCCGCGAACAGTGCGAGCTCGTCCGGGGTGATCTCGGCTTTGACTCTTCGAGGACACCGTCGTCGCTGCCGTCGAAGCGAAATAGGCCTCGGGAATCGCTGGCGAGAAGTCAATTCGCACGACGTTCCGCGAGCCGCTCGTGCTCGCAGGAGTCGGATGGCGGCTGGAAGAATGTGCGCGAATTTTCGCGCTCCGAGCGCGCGGTGGCATTTTTTTCTTTGGTTTTTCCTCCTTTTCTGGAAGATTTTACGCCACCGTGTGTGTGTGTGTATGTGTGTGTGTGCGTTCTCGCTTGGTGCGCCAAGCGTGTGTGATTCGAGAAGTGACTTCTTCGCTCGGCGGAATGAGATAAGCACCTTCGTATAAAATAGCTCGACGAACGTAGCACCGTTTCCAGCATCTCGAACATCGTCTCCCTGCGCCGAATGAGCGGATCGAAAAGGATCCTGGTGAATTCACGAAAGCCGCGAGGTCGACTCCCTGATCCCTGCCGGTCGGCAAATTCATTCTGAGGGTTCTCTTCCTGCCAGCTGTGGTCATTATCCGATAGGCGATACGCCTCAGCGCAACTCAACTTTCTGCGGGTTTCTGAGGTACTCTCTGACATCCTAGTAACACAACCGTCCCATCACAGAATCACAAACGGCAGTTGGAGCGACGAGAACGCAACGAGCGGAAGGGAACGTTGCAGTAAGGGAAAATAAATAAATAAATAAGAGTAAAGTGGAAAAAATAAATAAAAAATAAATAACGAAGAAGCAGGAATTTTGTTCCCCCAGTGCGGCTTGGGACCAGGAAACTCGCCGAATGAATTCTACGAGGCTCGCTTTTCAAGCTTGTCTGCTTCTCCGCGGTGGTTTCTGTGCGTATACGCGATACGATACGGGGATGCGAACAATCCTCTCTCCCTTCGCAGCTGCACGGGGTCTCTCGGCAGGCTGCTCGCACTCTATTCTACCTATTAAACCTCCGCCCAGCGCTCTAATTCTGCTGCTGCGTGGCCTCGTGCGGCAGTACGACGCGCTTGATGAGTCCCGGCGGCGCGTCGTAGCTCTGCGAGCCGCGCTCGTCGCCGCGGTCCAGGGACGACAGCAGGCTTCTGGACGCGTTCGGC